CGCGTTGAAATTAGTTGACTTCATTTTTTATGTTTTTGTGTTTACTTATATGTTTAATTGACATTAGTAGACTTATGTAGTAGACTTCGTTAGTAGACTTATATTTATTGTAAGCAACATATTTATGAGTTCTACTAAACTTTTTCCGTAGACACTATCAGTAGTCCATATTCAATAATATTTCACAGGATTCAGTGTTACCTAGAAATCAAAAGCTATAAATAGAAGAGTGACATGGTAATTACTTAGTAGACTTCAGTACAAATACAATTACAACTTAGTAGACTTCAGTCGAAGATTTCAGTTTAATTACAATATCCTAAACGTAATTACAACATATTTGGCATTTTAATTATACGATAGATGGCCAAAAAACTTCCACACCTATCATCTACCAATTGCTAAAATAACCTGCAATCATATTGAAGGTCATTTATGCAAGTAGCCCAAAAGTTGCCATAAAAATCAAAGTTAGTTTTAAATACGGATACCCTAAACTTTCCTATCATAGATATCCAGCCCGATTGCATCTAGCTTATCATGGCCCCTAGCACCTATTTCCTCAAAGATCTCTGCAGCCAATTTTCTCCCTGATTTGTCAAATGTTTTAATCACAAAGTTGCGGAGAAAATGGCAAATCCAAAGCATGACACTCGATGTACTTCAGGCAGTAGACTCCGCAATCACCACTCTGATAGTTTTGAGGTATCTGCGTACCTGGTACTCGTGAATGTGTGAACGGCGTGTAGGGGAATCTCCACTTGTCTTCAGTAGGTGCACAGGTCTGAAGAAGGTAGGGTATCATAACAGCGAGAGGCTCCACAGCTTCGTCAATTTGGGCGTCAGATGCATGTTTGGTTCCCGCATGACTATCCCATATCGTGATATGCCTCGACACAAATGAAACCCAGATAGCTAGCCAATGGTCCCCCCTGATGTGCAACATTGAGTACAAATAGTCGACTTCATAGGCCCACGTCTTCTTAGTCTGGCAGTAGATAGGTAATTCGCATGTGTAGTACGAATACGCTCCAGGTGGTAGAAGTTTGCCGGAACCATCTTCATTCGGCTCAGAGTTTTTGAAGTCATTGTAGTCACGCCTCCATACCATAGCAAACATGGAGTTGAGGAAGCAAATCCGGTCGGATACAAACCACTCCGGATGCTTGGATAATCATAGCCTGAGGACGTTAATATAAGCTTCCATGTGCTGCACATTGATGAAAATAACACATGAGTGAAGTCTGCATACAAAGTCTACTAAAGAAATCTACATATTAGGTCTACGTATGAAGTCTATCTATAAAGTCTAACATGAAATAGTAAAACACTAACCGTATCAGCTAGCCATTTCTTCGGTGTCCGGAGAATGTAATACCAGTCGATCGAAGAGTTTTTTGGACGTCTTGGATAGGCACTGTATAAGTGAAAAAGTCAGACAGGAAAATAATAATATGATGAAGTCTACTTACATAAGTATAGAAGTCTACTTACGGGTTTGCCTTCACAAAGTTCATTAGAGTAGTATGCTTCGCCTTAACACCGGTTTGATCGAAAGGATCATATCCACGGACACGACCGGAGTGAGATGCCGACGTTGGAATGATCGCCTTTGCGGTGCTATTTCCTAAGAAAAGACTCTTCTGTGTCGCAGCCAGCTGTCGGTTTCTGGCACTCGTTGCTCGGGCAACTATCTGAGCCGCTGCTCTGGCTTTGGAATTTTTGGCTAGTGCAACTGCATCAAAGTCAACATCACACGTCTTTGGGTCAACTTCATAAAAGCTAGGCTTGGGGGCCTCTTCTTCCTTCAAGGCATCCTTCTTTCTTTTTGCATCCCCGGGGGCATTGACACTCTCACTCGCACCAACGTTGACATTATCTTTCATCAGAGTATCTTCTTTCTCTGAATTACTCTGCAATTTATTGTCACAAATAGGCATGAATATACAAATAACACCACCACTGCTATAATTTAGTAACATGTTTCATCATAGTCTGGAAATTGGAAACACAATTTTTTAAAACATAAGTAAATAATCTCACACGGTACATAGCATTATTAAACATGTTCGAATTCAAATGACATTAGTATTAAATGTTCCTATCTTTGCGTGATCTTATTCGCATGAAATGTTTTCGTATAGGCGGAGGGTTTTTGGTGCTAACCCCTTCATGCTTCTTGGATCCAGTGACCTGCTGCTGGGTTGGCTCTACATTGTCCTTGACCTCTTCCTCAGTATGCTTCGCCGACCCTGTAGTCAATACCGCGCGCTCTACAGATTCAACTTTGTCGGTGAGAAGTTTGATCTGCTTTTCACAGCTACCAAGACCATTCAGCATCTTGGTTGAAAAGCTTTTGAAGCATTGGTCAAAGTGCGCTTTCATAGTAGCGACAACTCCGACCCCTTCATCACCAACGAAAGAGGCGGCAGAGGCAGAGGCTGTGCAGGTTCTCTTGCGACTTGATTCATCTGAGGGAAGGCTCCTTTTTCCTGCTCCTCTTTCCTGCCAGTGGTTTTTTGAGAACTTGAATTGGGGGTCATGGATTGCATTGACAATCTTGACAATATCCGGATCCTGTTCCTCATCATCCCAAACTGGAAACATATCCGCTAAGTCCTTAGCCACGCAGCACTGTATGCGAGCCTGGAAAAACACAATATGTAAATGAATTACTATATAATAATCTACGTATGAAGTCTACCACTGAAGTCTACCACTGAAGTCTACAACTGAAGTCTTCTTCAAATAAGATTTTATATAGAAGTCTACACATGAAGTCTACTCCTGAAGTCTACTTTGTAAATTAATTACTATATAGAAGTCTACTACGGAACAAGATCTTATAAATGAGAATGAGTAGACTAATACAGTACCTATTTTAGCATGTTGGCTTTGACGTTCTTTCGTCCTCTTGATCCTTTGTAAGTCAGCAGAAGAGATGTAGGATCATTTGGCAATGGTTCGCCAAATTCAGCAGCAAAATCCGACAGAGCATAGTACACCCACACTTGAAGAGCTTGCACAAATCCTTCTATATGAATGTTTTTGCTGAGATCTTTCTCCTTAACAGACTTGATCAGATGCTGAATAACAATTCTTCCCCATGGGAACTCCTTAAAACCTTCGAGATCTATCACTAGTCTGGCATGTTTGACATTTGTGGATAAGTCTGGTCTCGTTGCCACTATGAAACCAGCGTAGATCCCAAAATATCCCAACCGCAGCCTATCATCCCGAGGCCATGATGAGCAGTTGGAACAGACTTCAATAATTTCGATAGTGCTTGGGTCCGACTCGACATCGACCCCCATTAGCTCCCAAAATGCCCGTATCTCATCGGAAAGCTCAAGATCAGCTAGAGCCAAGTCATCCACGTACCCGCAGTTGAGTCCGGTGATCTCCTCAAACTCATTCAATGAAAACCGAACTGGAGTGGTACCAATCAGGCTTCATATCTCGTACATCTGCTTGCAAACTATCTGAAAGGTCAGCATGTGGTGCACAAGCCTATAAGCCCAACCAAAATCCAAGTCGTGGAACTTTAAGAAGACATCCAACGGTGACTCGTAAATCTCTTCTCATTCATCCTCTTGTAGAGCTGACCGTAGTGCAGGTACCAACCTATAATCATCAGCATAATAGACGATGCTTTTATCCGGGGCTGGCTCACCGCCTTTGGTGTACAGTCTTCTAGGGAATTCAGAGGCCACCATTATCTAACACAGATTTCTGCATCAACGATAACAAAGCTCTAATGAGAAAAACTAGTTATAACTAAGGGTTTGAAACTATACACGAATGAAGTCTACTTTTACAAAATGAAGTCTTCTTTTGCAACATGAAGTCTACTTTGCAACATGAAGTGTACTTTTACAAAATGAAGTCTATTTTTTTGCAAAATGAAGTCTACTTTTGCCAAAGGAAGTCTACTTTTTTTTGCAAAATGAAGTCTACTTTTGCCAAAGGAAGTCTACTTTCACATTCTAAGTACAATCCGAGTCGAGAAGTCTACTGAAGCCAACCGAAGCAATCAAAACATCAAAAAAAAAACAGTATATGAAGTCTACGGAAGCCACATGAAGCAATCAAAACATCATAAATATTGCATATGCAGTCTACTGAAGCCAACCGAAGCAATCAATACATGATAAATACTGTATATGCAGTCTACTAAAACCAATCATCCAAATGGAATCTACAAAGTTAATAGTGGTTACAGCCGTGATAAGATAAAGCCGGCATCGAGATAATGCAACCAGATCTGGAAAAAAAACCTATGTACTTAAACCCGACGGACAAAATTACAGGAAGATAGAAGTAATAGAGGAATAGCTAAGTATATATCTTCGGAAGGACATCTACTAACCGTTTTGAGGCAGGAAATGACGTTAATCCCCAACGGCAAAAGAAGATCTGCAAAAAAAAAACCCTAATTTCATATCTGGACACTGGTGGTTATGAAAACGAAAAGGTGATGAATACAGAGGAGTAGGGAAGCATGGGGGTGAGGTTGGAGGAAGAAAACTTGCCTGAACGGGTTTATCGGCGGCGGTTCTGTAAGTCGGCGGCGCCGGAGAAGAGAAACAGAAATCCCTTTTGACTTTTTTTTTTAAATAGGAGCTTTCGACGGTCTTTTTAACGGGATCTGTAAAATTCCTTTATATAGTTTGGTAGTTCCGTTTGGTTTGGGTAAATTTTTTTCGGTTAGGGTTAATAATTTTACGGGGACTAGGTAAATTTACCCGGTTACGGGCAGTTTTCTTGGTTAGAGAAAGTTATTCCCGGTTTAATTTCGGTTAGGTTAATTTATTTGGTTTAGCAGACTTCAATATAGAAGTCTACAACTTTTAAAACCTAAATAATAAATTTTCTTCTACTTAATTTAAAAACATAAATTTCCATTTAGCAATATGAAAAAATAATTTATGTACATTTGGATTACAATTATGGAATTTATGAATGTAAATTTGATACCAAAATAATTTATTCTAAATTTTAAAATTAAATTTCCCGATTAAATTACTTAGTGGACTTCATTTTGATAAAAGAAGTCTACTATTAGACTTCTTTCTCTCTTTAGTAGACTTCATCAGGGTGTAAACGGTAATTAGGACATCCGTTTTTTGTTTATTCATACAGGATTAAATGGTCTTTTCACTACCCCTTTAGATTATTTCTGCCAAATATTTTTTCAGAAGTCTACTTTTGTATTCAAAGTCAAGTTTTATGTTATTTTTAGCAAAAACCCAAAAAAAAACCCGTGTCTTTCTCAATTATCTCCATTGATTTATCCTTGTGTATAAATATTTGGAAGGACATCAATGGCGTAAGGCGTAGAGACTGAGTAAGAATCATGGCTAACTAGGTTTCTGATCCTAATATTGGTGCAGAATCATGGCTAACTATGTTTCTGATCCTAACATTGGTGCACTGCTTTTGTTTCTACAAAGAGAGAAAAAGATTCAAGGAAGAGAGGAAGGTGCAGAAATAAATGAAATTATTATAAATTTCTTGCGTGTGTGGAAAAGTATGTATTAAAAACATACCTAGTTTTTTTATATCACTGTCACCAAATTATACGCAACTTTTTAATACATGTGTTCTAATTGTAATGCAAACAACATTATATTACATACATAACGGTTTACATTCTCTCCTCTAGAGTATCACTTTCACGGCAAGTTTCTTTGCACAGAGCATATTAATTCCTCAGAAGCGACTGAAATCTCCTCAGAAATCCAAAAAGATTCGGAAAGCGGTGCAGCAGGAATTTGCTGCAAGACAGGCCTTGGAGGCACTTCAAGAGCTTCAAGACTTCCTTCCATCATCTCTACTACTCTGTTCATCGGTGGGCGGTTTGATGGCGAAGACTGAATACACCATAGACCCACCAATGTCATCTTCTTTAATATGTCCTCTACTTCGCTGCTGATTCCCTCCTCGACAAGCCTTTCACTTTCACTGTCTCCCTTCTCAAGATCCTTATATATCCATTCTGGAAAGTACATTGAGCTTGCATTTGATGCACAGTTTTGATCAACTCTTTCTTTCTTCCTTGCACCTATCATCTCGAGGACTAGCATTCCATAGCTATACACATCTGACTTGTGAGAAACGCTCCCATACACTCGGGAGATCATCTCCGGTGAAATGTACCCTACTGTACCTCTCATGTCTAGCAGCGACATGATGCTCTCATTCTTCTCACAGAGTTTAGCAAGTCCGAAATCAGAAACTTTTGGGCAAAGATTGTCATCCAACAGCACGTTTTGTGGTTTTATGTCAAAATGTACAATCCTTGTTTTGCAGCCATAGTGCAAGTACTCGAGACCACGAGCAACTCCTAATGCAATCCGATAGACTGTCGTCAGGTCCAAATGCAATGAAGTCTTGTCTGAGATGAACTTATCGAGCGACCCGTTCTGCAAAAACTCATATATAATTGCTCTTTTTGAGCCTTCAGAGCAGAATCCAAGCAGGGAAACAATATTGATGTGAGATGTTTGGCTCATGCTTGAAACTTCATTGATGAAGTCTTCACCGTTATCGTCCTTTGAATCTTTCAAGACCTTGACAGCAACCATACGGCCATCACAAAGAGTTCCTCTATAAACAATTCCAAATCCACCTTTCCCAATGACTTCCTCGAATGACTTTGTAATTTTCTTCACTTGAGCATAGGTATAGTGTTTGAGTGGAATAAGGGCTTTCAGCTTCTTTTGTCTCCTATTATCTGATGCTTTTCTCTTCCGGAAAATCCGGACTCGAAAACAAGGGCATAATAGCAATAGGAAAGCAATAACACCTGCTAGTGAAAGCAGAGCTAGACAAACAGAGCAAATGTTCCGTTAGTACTAATCTAGGAAGATAAAAACAATTAGAAATACATGCTAGTTAAACTAACCTACGAGAGTGTAGATGCTTATAATCGCTGTAGAACCATTAAATAAGTAAAGTTTGTCAGCACAGAACCAAATTTGATCTAAGGAACAGTTAACAAAAATTAGGAAGTCACTCCAAGAAAGGTAAATCACCTATTAGTGTTTTCCTAAACTCTGATTCTGCATTTATCATGAAGAAAATCAGTAAGAGCTGAAGACACAATTTCAAAAAATTGAAACTAAAGGGAGTTTTGTGGAAATGATTCAATCAAAAGGTGGGTGGCAGATTGTGCCACAATAGCAAACGAGATAATGTACCAAAGCAATCTTACCCTCATCTCTCGAATGGCATGAATGGGAATAGGAATAGTCATACGGCCTATCTTTACAATAGCAGGCGAACGTTCTTGAGGTCTGATTATATCCACAAGCACCACCAGATATATGGCAGCTGAGACAATTTGTTGTGACCTCAAGCTGGAAACCCTCTTCAAGAGCCTTCTTTAGATTATCTTGAGTCGGAGTTCTCTGCAGTGTCTGTAATGCCAATCCAGATGCAGGAATACTGACATTTCTTTTGCACACTTCCCTAAAGTTGTTTAAAAGACCTTTAATGTCGTTGAGTAAAGGAGATGAGAGGCTTCTGGTCACATAGTAACTTGGTTTTCCGCCATCACAGCCAAGCTCTCCAACATAACGAGTAGCAGAAATAGCAGATGAATAGAAATTGCAGTCGTAATATAATGTTAGCAGCTCTGTGCCATCAGTAAATGGAAGGACGGTTTCAACGAATGGTGCATTAATTGGGTTTGGGGGACAAAGATCGCCGATATAATCTGATCGTGCGAGATATATAGTAGCAGTGGAACTGGTCATGTATATGATTCTAAACCTCACTGATGCAATTTTTAGCTCTGCATATCCTCCGTTACAGTCGAGCTCGAAGTCGGGGTGGCCACAGTCTTCTCTCCCAGGTATCCAGAGGGGGTAAGAGAGATCTTTCTGATTGCCGCAGCTAAAACGTTCGCTGCAGCGTCGGTAAAGCTCATAAGCTGGAAAAAAAAAATCACAAAGAGCATTCTATGATCATTATGTTCTCCTCTTGTTTTGTTTCCTTGGAGGTCACTGGATAAAAATGGTGAAGAAGAAGCAGAAGAGAAAAGGAGAAAAAGCAGAGATGATAGGTATGAATATCTTTGGTCTACGTCTAGATATTTTTGTATGAGAAAGTTAATTACCACTAGGTTGATGATGTGGTAAGCAACTAACTCCTCCCGATGGTGATGCTACGTTGCAGCAAATCTGTGTAGTACTGTCGAAACCACAGGTTCCACGAGTAGATGAACATTCTTGACATGGTATCTCATCGATCACTAGCTTCACCTCAAACCCTTGTCTTAGAGCACTTTCCAAATGGGTCAAATTTAGCTCTCTCTCGTTTGGAACGAAACTCGCTGGAACATTAACTGTGAAATTGCTTTGGCATGAATTCCGGTAGTCGTGGCTTTGAGTCAGTGAGAAACGCCCTAAAGCAGGACATGTATGACTTGAGAGGTAAGGAATCTTAGGATCACAGTTGTATAAAACGGTGAGGCTCTTGTAAGTTGGCGAAAGCTCAAAGATTTCGAGAGGCAAAGTTGTGGTATTGAATGTGGCGGAGCAAAAAGAACCTGAAAGGTCTTTCCTGGCAAGTCTCAGAGTATTAGATGTTTGATCTATATGGAAAACGTTGTACTCGTGGTTTGATATATTTAGAGAGGTGATGTTTTTGAGGCAGTGAAGCTCCAGCAAAGGATGACCGCAAGGTCTGGGGCGATTTCCGCCCCGGAAGGGGAACCCAGCGGTTATGTTCCCACACTGAAACAGAGACTCACACCACCCAAGTCCTTGTTTACTTGAAGTACAAGGAAGATAGTAGAATGAAGAGAAGACGAAGAAGATGATCAAACAAGAACTGAGGGGGTAGTACATGATTTGTTTGATCTCTGAACAGTGTGTTCTCTGGGTTAGGTTTGTGTTGAGAAGAGAAGAGCAAGTGATTTAATGAGTCTGAGAAGAGAGATAGAAACATAAAGAGTAAAGACCAAGTCAACGTGGAATAATTGACTCTGAAAGATTCGTCTCGTCGTAAAGAATTTTTCTTGATAGGCCAAAATACGATATTGAGGCAGAGAAGATTGGTCCATTGGGTGTTCCTCTTTATTACTTAAGACGTTGCTGGTGAAATTTTGACTTTTCTAGTCTTCTACGTCTTCTATATTCAATAGGTTATGGTATATGTTAACTAACAAGTCCCTCTCATATCCCACTGAAGATTTTCCAAGAAAATTCTTTTTTATTTTTTTTTGATAAGGATCCGAGAAAATTCTTACCAAGTAGGTTTTATGTAGTATCAACAAAGGTCTTGAAATGGTAACCCAAAAAAAATACTTATCATAGCTGATGAGGAATTCTCTTTATTCACCACCCTCTTATTCATATCCAAGGAAAAAACAAAAGCAAAACAAAAAAACTTCATCTGTCTCGCTTTTATAATTTTGGCTAATAAAACTTAATGAAGAGACGACTCACAGAGTCAACTAATAAAGCCAATTAAGCCATTTGTATTCTCTTGAGTCTCTCTGTACTTGTGCACTATGAGAGCCAATTATGCTTATGCATAAAACATTAAACTTAAACAAAAAATCTACAATCTTTTTTGTTTTTCTATCTATGTGGTGTAGGTCTCTAAGATTAAAAAAAGAAGCTTGTGAAGTTACCAATGAATTTCCGGCTAGGTATCCCAACAATGCGAGCCTCGACAGTTTTACTCTGTGGTATTGTCCTGGCTCACTTGTTTGCTGCTCAAATTGATGGTCAAAGATCTAGAAGTCCATGGCAGACGCTTAGTGGTGAGTGTGCTCTCACTTCCTTTCTTTTTCTTTCTTTACGCATGATTTTCCCTGAAAATAGGAGAAAATGAGAGAGAGTATTATACTCAGACTCGTGTTTTGGTTATCATTGATAGTAACTTCGAAGTCCAATAGTTACTTCTGAAAGTGTTATTCATTTGTGTATTTTTAGTTGATTTAGACATCTATATAATATTAAGAATTCACTGATTTCAAAATCTAATATGTGGTTTTCAATTAATATTTGTAAATTTGTTAGTTTTCCTTCGGAATTTTTTTCTTTTGTTAAAATAACTTTCGATTACTTTTTGTTTTTGTTTTTGTTTTAATTAGGTGATGCTCCTCTTGTGATTGCTCGTGGTGGGTTTTCTGGATTGTTTCCAGATTCGAGTCTCGCTGCCTACAGTTTCGCAATGCAGACAAGTGTAGCCGGTTCTGCACTATGGTGTGATGTTCAGCTAACCAAAGATGGACTTGGAATTTGCTTTCCTGATTTGACATTGAACAATGCTTCAACTATTGAATTTGTTTATCCAAGTCGCCAAAAATCTTACCCGGTTAATGGAGTCCGTACTCGGGGTTGGTTCACCATTGATTTCTCCTTGAGCGATCTCAACAATGTTTCTTGTAAGCGTTATATGACTCAGTAATCACTGGTTCTGTTAAAAGAAGAATTTGAGATTGTCTTGTGACTTCTCACTTGCTTTTTCATCTTTTGCAGTGATCCGAGGAATATACTCTCGGAGTGAAAAATTTGATGAAAACGGATACTCGATTTTGACGGTTCAAATTGTAACGACGCTGAAGGAACAAGAAGTGTTTTGGTTAAATGTTCAGCACGATGCGTTCTATGAGCAACATAATCTTAGCATGAGCAGTTTTCTGATATCAGCTTCAAGAACTGTTTCTATTGACTACATCTCTTCCCCTGAGCTGAATTTTTTTCGGAAAGTTGCTGGACGTTTTGGGCGTGATGGACCGATATTCGTGTTCCGGTTTCTTGGGAAAGAAGATTTCGAGCCGACAACAAATAGAACTTACGGTTCTATCTTGAGTAACCTAACTTTTGTCAAGACGTTTGCTTCCGGGATTCTTGTTCCAAAATCTTACATATTGCCACTTGATGACAAACAATACTTGCTTCCTCCTACGTCCTTAGTTCAAGATGCTCACAAAGCAGGATTAAAAGTGTATGTGTCAGGTTTTGCAAATGATGTTGATATTGCATATACCTACAGTTTCGATCCAGTTTCTGAGTATCTATCTTTTGTGGACAATGGTTATTTCTCTGTCGATGGTGTGCTCTCTGATTTTCCCATAACTGCATCTGCATCCATTGGTAAGAAACGTCTCTCCTATAGATACCATTTAATTTTATCCTTAAATATATTGCTAGAAATACTTAACATCAAACATTATTCTTTTCATATTTTCTTCAGAGTGCTTCTCCCATATTAGCAGAAACGCTACAAAGCAAGGTAATTAATGAGAGTAATTACTTTGCATTTTTTTGTAACTTTTCTTACTAATAGGAAAAAAAAAGAAACCTAGAATTGACTTTATCATCTACCAAATGGTTACATTATTCAGTGGATTTTCTTGTTATATCAAAAAATGGAGCGAGTGGGGACTATCCTGGATGTACAGACTTGGCATACGAGAAGGCAATTCAAGATGGTGCTGATGTTATCGATTGCTCGGTCCAAATGTCCAGAGACGGTACACCCTTTTGCTCAAGTTCGATAGATCTCGCAAACAGCACAATGGTCGCCCAAACTCCTCTCAGAAACCGTTCAACAACAGTTCATGAGATTAGCTCAGTTGGTGGAATATTCACTTTTAGTCTCACATGGCCTGAGATCCAGAGCTTGACTCGTAAGTTGCCCTTCAAATTTTCCGCTTGCTTCAGACAAATGCTAGTCTGTTCTGCAAACTCTTCTTATTCCTTCTATTTGTAGTAACTAGTCTAAGAGCTCTGTTTTTACTCCTAACTAACCATTTTTTACATTAATTCTCTTAGCTTGATATTACTGGCTATTTCAGAGATTAGAGAACTTGAGAGTAACAACAATAACTATTCTCCCATCTTTTTGTGCAGCTGCTATTTCAAACCCCTACAGGGCATACAATATGTTTAGGAATCCGAATGAGAAAAAATCTGGGAAGCTTATTTCACTTTCTGAATTTCTAAACTTGGCAAAGAACTCCACTTCTCTCTCCGGTGTTTTAATCAGTGTAGAGGTACTTCTCGTACCTCTTTAATCTTATGATTTCATCAATCAGACTGTCACGTCTACTAATGTCCAAGCCACTTTTTTATTTGTGTCCTTCAGAATGCAGTGTACCTAAGAAAGGAGCAAGGGCTCGACGTGGTTAAAGCGGTTCTCGATACACTTACGAAAACTGGTTATAGCAATAGAACAACCACAAAAAATGTCATGATTCAATCAACGAACAGCTCGGTTCTTGCTGACTTCAAGAAGCAGAGCCAGTACGAGACTGTCTACAAAGTTGAAGAAACCATCAGTGATATTCTTGACTCTGCTATCAAAGACATAAAGAAATTCGCTAACGCTGTTGTCATCAGTAGATCATCAGTCTTTCCCTTTCCTGATGGGTTCATCACTAGGCAAACCAATGTTGTGGAGAGGCTGCACAAGTCTCAGCTCTCGGTTTATGTGGAACTGTTTCAGAACGAGTTTGTATCTCAACCGTATGACTTCTTATCTGATCCAACCGTTGAGATAAACTCATACATCTCTGGAGTCGGTATCAATGGAACCATCACCGAGTTCCCTTTGACAGCTGCAAGATACAAAAGTAAGTAACCTAAAAATTTCTTCAAAAGATCTCACAATAGCCTAACTTTGTTTCTCCTGTGCAGGGAATCGATGTTTGGGCAGCAAAGAAACCCCACCTTACATGGCCCATGTTGACCCTGGTGGCCTCTTAACCGTCGTGAGTCCGTCGTCCTTACCTCCAGCCAAACCTCCAAACCCGGTTTTCACAGATGCTGATGTCACTGAGCCACCACTACCTCCGGTTACAGCAAAAGCCCCAACCTCAACCCATGGAACCTCAACCTCATCAACCAATGCACAAGCACCTAGGCCTAGTGGACAAACTCGACTCACTCTATCTCTCCGTCTCTCTGTTTTTGCCTCTCTTTTACTTCTTTGATCAACCGTTGATCTCATCCCTGGCGAGTCTTTATGATCGCCCTACTGTTGCTTTGGAGTGCCAACTTCTCATATATATTCTTGAGGTGTTACTTTCACTCGGATTTATTTGAGATAACATTCTCTTGTACTCTTGCCTTATGTCTTGTGTTATTTTGTTAGATATTGTATCCTCAATATATTGGGGTGCATTTGATCTAGCATTTGGAGTGATTTGACCGCAAATCATATCTTCTTTAAACATGAATTTTACAAAGTTTTTAAAAATCTCATGTTGTTGAATATTTAGTGATTTGAAAATGAACCTAAATATATTAAATAGTGAATTTTAAGCGATTTTTAGTGATTTAAAGATGTTTTGGTAGAGTTTCTTAATTAAAATGTAAAAGTTCAAATCACATAGTTTAGGTGAAAGTTCATAAAAGTTTAATAACAATGTTTGGTCTGCGCCTTGCGCAAATAGATAGATTTCATTAAATAACCACATTAATTAGATTATTAAAATTAATTCTAATAATAATAATTAAATACAAATATGAAAAAAGTAAGAGATATATCAACAAACAGAAAAAACATAAGAAATAATAATATGTATTCATAGAAATATCGAAAACCAAATATTGTATCAAAACCATAAAAATAATTAAAATAAGACAATACTGATTTAAAAATATTCTAAAACACTTTTTCATATACAACATTCATAGTGAATTTTTTTCTTTCATTCTCCAGAACTTTCTCCCTATTTCACGGAAATTGTCTCTCTTTGTCGGCACTTATGTTCTATTCAAGCGTGGACACTAAATTTTGATATCAGAACTAAACAATATATTTGGTAGTTAAAATCGTCATTAATTGTATATATTAAATTTATAGATTATTGTAATTCTTCATTCTCTCTAACTGTAAATCTCTCTCTCTTTTGTTGGAATTATTTCTTATTCTTATCGGTTTTTATCTTTCACGCAAGCATGAACACAAAATATTATATCGGAGCATAGGTAAACAATTTATTTGTTAGCTTTGATATCATGTTAAGTTTCAAAACTAAATTAGTCATTATTTTTATATATTATTTTTATGGATGAGTTTATTTTCGTTTTCCGTAACCTAAACTCTCTTGCCACTGAAAAACGATCAAACCAATAGAAAAATCGCAGGCTTTACAATGAAATGGGCCGATAGACTTTATAATAAAACAGGTTTTAATAACCTAATTATAGCAAAACTTATCACATCACTTTAAAAATACACATAATTTTATGACCGGCTAATTAAAATCGACAAAAACGTCACATAGGACGAAAAATAAGCATATGACATGTTACCACAAAAATACACAAAATTGCTCTAAGATTGACATATAAGATTTTTTGCTTTACAAATAACTGGATTCAAACTCGTGCGTGCAAGAGAATTTTTTCTTTTTTATTTGTAATATAGTTTGTATTTATTTTTTTGTTTAGATATAATTTGTTTTTGTTATTTTTTCTAATTAAGAATTTTGTTATCATGTTTTAACTTTAAATAGTATAGATTTGTATATTAGTATAATAAGAGTATGAGTTAATTAAGTATATATCAATCTAATGTTAATTATGAACTTTGTTATTATGTGAATTTAGATTTACACCGAAATAATTTATATATTTATGAATTGGCTAACCCATCTGTTTAGTTGCCTCAAATTGTATTTTAATATCTCACATGTTTTGACAAACTAACTCATATAAGACTGTAATTATAAATGTATAACCCTAACATACTCCATCCTATTATTGTATAATATTAATATTTACTAATATTGAATATTTGATATTTTAGACCGATTGATTATGATAAAATATAATAAGATATTCATTTATCATTTGTGTTATTATAAAAATGTATATATTTATAAATTGACTAACATGTTTGTTAATTACCTCAAATCATCTTAATATCTTACATGTTTTAACAAACTAACATGTATAAGATCTTAAGTATAAATACATAACCCTAATCAGCTCCATCATATTATTTTATATTATAAATAATTATTAATCTTAAATATTTAATATTTTAGACCGATCGATCATGATAAAATACAATAAAATATTCGTTTACCATTTGTGCTATAATAAAAATATTATAAAAATTCAAAATTTTAAATTAAAGTAACCTGTATTTAAGAAATTCAAAAGTAATTAAAATTATTATCTAAATTTTTGTAATAAAATTTAATTATAATTTTTTTGAATTTTTTGAATTTTAAATTAAATTAAAACAATTTTGATCAATATTAAAATTGTTTCCAAACAGACTTTTTTAAAAAATTTGGGAGTGTTTGGAAGTAAGTGCTAAAAGTGTTTTTGTTTTAATAGAATCTATACTATTATTTGTGAGGTCAAAATTCTGTTGTGTCGTCTTCACAGCGATTGTTCTACGTGTTATTATTACAAAAAATATTATGTGGCGTTTTAATTAGTTCTGATAGGTCGATCATTAATCCTACATGTAAATACATTTGACATGGTTTTTTTCCTCAATTATGGGCCAGGAATTTTTTTAAGGGCCACCGATCTCAAAGTCGGGCCAAGCCATTGATTTTGGTTATGGGCCACCGATATTAAAGTCGGTACGAATAAAAACCAAAAAAAAGAATAAGAAAAATATGAAAAAGAACTAAACCAAAAGATAAATATATATATATATATATATATATATAAAGAAGAGTAGAACAAAAAAAGGAAGAAGAAGAAGAGAAGACAATCAGAAGAGACAAATAAAAAAGAAGTTATAGACGATGAAGAAGACGAAATAAAATATAAGGAATAAGAAAATTGACGTCGATGATAAAGAAGAAGGAAAAGACGAAGAAGAAGATCAAAAAAAAATTCATAATAAGAAAAATTTTGACAAGACAAAAATATTGAAGAATAAGAAGGGGAAATGGATGATGAATTTGGAGAAAGAGGGAGATAGAGAAAAATGAGTTAAAGCTTTCAGGGACATGTAGATAGAGAGAAAGAGAGTGTGATGGAGAGAAATAGAGAGAGAGAGAGTGAGAGAGAGAGAGTGTGAGAGAGAGAAAGAGAAATGGTAGAGAGAGTTAAACTTTATAGGTACATGATATTAAATCTATGTTAGTTCGTATTTTCTGTAGAGAAGACAAATAAGAAGAGAGAAATAAAATAGAAGTTGTAGACGATGAAAAAGAAGAAAGAAAAGATAAGAAATAAGAAAATTGACGTCAATGATAAAGAAGAGGAAAACACAAAGAAGAAGATCGAAAAAAATTCATAATAAAAAGAATTATGACAAAACCAAAATATTGAAGAATAAGAAAGGAAAATGGATGATGAATTTGGAGAAAGAGGAAGATAGAGAGAAAATGAGTTAAAGCTTTCAGGGATATGTAGATGCTTCAGGGACATGTAGATGCTTCAAGGACATGTAGATAGAGAGAAAGAGAGTGTGAGGGAGAGAAATAGAGAGAGAGTGAGAGAGAGAGAAAGAGAGAAAGAGAAATGGTAGAGAGAGTTAAACTTTATAGGTACATGATATTAAATCTATGTTAGATCGTATTTTCTGTGTTCTTTTTGTTTTATATTTGAAACACTTCTTACTTTAAATGTAGTTATTAAATCGTATGATATATACAATTTAGGACGAGGGGGGAGAGAATGAGAGAGAAATATTGAAAAAGAGATTGTGAAAGCAAGAATGATAGGGAAGGATGCATGGAGGGGGAGAGAGAGAGAGTTAAAGTTTTCAAGTACATATATTTTTTTAATATAAAAGACGAAGTAAAATAAGAAAAATATAAAGTCAGAGAGAACGAAGAAGACAAAAACGATGAAGAAAAAGTAGAATATGGAAAAGATGAGGAAAATATGTGGAAAAATATTTAAAGAATTAGAAGTAAGAAAAGACATATAGAATGAAAAGGAGAAGGAAAAATAAATAAAAGAGAATGAAAAAAGACGTGAGAGAAGAATGAGAGATAAAGATAGAAGACGATGAAGAAATATATGTAAAAAACGATAAAAAAGGAAAACTAAAAGATAAATAAGAGGAAAAACAAAGAAGATGAAAAATAATTATGTAGAAACGAAGAATTTGTTTTTGTCTTAGTTGAATTGATTGTAAGTTCAATACACTTATTTAATATTTTTGTTTTTAATTTTAGATGATGTTTTTTTCGATTTATTTTATTTTATCATGTATGTCTTAAATAATTTTTTTAAATTTTTAAATTTTTGGTTTATAACATTGAAATGCATGCACAAAGTGCAGGCCAAACACCTAGTAGATAATATAAAATAATAACAATTTACCTATTTCATTCAAATTATTTAAAAACTCAGGAAAACTCAAGAGAGACTTTAACCTCAAATAATTCTCTCTCAAATCTCGCAGTCTCATATACTCTTCTTATAAACTTAATTTCTTTTTGATTTTTTTTTTTAAATACGAAAACACTCAAAAAGACATAAAAACGCTTAATGAATATGCAGAATTACAGATCCAGTCCCTCTAAATCGAACTATCCAGACCCGGACCCAGATCTAATTTAAATAACCAATATAACCGGCATTAATCAAATTAAACCGGTTTAATTGTTCTAAACCATCCCCAAATTAAAAATCTCCAATTCCCCCAAATCCCCAACTCTCTTCTTCGACCCAAAACGAGCAAACCCTAAATCGAGCGATCCCGAGCAAACTGTTTCTCCCGATCCGAAATCGATTCCATCAGTCCTGAATCGATTCCGTCATCTCCTTCCTGTTCGATCAGCCTCGAATAGACGCGACTCCGAGACTCCGCGACTCCTCTCTCTTTGACTTAAATCTGGAAATCCACACCCATTCCCTTCAATTCGATCCACAGCGATTACTTCAACGCCGCCGCTCACTTTTCACTCTTCCATCGTCGCTGAACAGGTATCTTTTGGGCTTAAGAGTGTTTAATTAGAACCCTAATTTCTGATTTCCTTCCCTCAACCCTAAACCCCAATTGATTTCTGATTTCTGTTTTAGAATTTTTGGAGGATGTCGACTAGGGGTTCACCTTCTCAATCCGGAGAGATCTGAAGTTGAATATCACTACAAGAAAACAGAGAATTAGCGACTGAATGTAGCGACTGATATAGTAGTCGCTAAGTGTCACGACTCATTGGCGACTGATTTGCTTTTATTTAATGACGTATAAATTACAGTCACAATCAGTCGCTAATTACCGACTAATTAAATAGTCGTAATATAGTCACCAAATAATGAATAAGTAACGACTAATAGATAGCAGTCGGAAATTTGCGACTGCGTTGCGACTGCAACTTTGGTCAAAATAAACAAAAACGTAATTTAATCCAAATCCAGCCCAAAACAAACACTTAACAATTTTCTTCGATCCCTTTTCATTCGAGAAACCCTAATCCCCTTTTCATCTTCATTCTCATTTCACCGACAAACCTTAATCGTTTAATTTCTCCTTCAATCTGTGTTTAATCTCATCTCTCCTCTCTCAATCGACCTTCTGTTCTTCTCTTAACCAGCTTGCCCTTCCTTAAATCTACAAAATTCCTTTCTATTCCCGAACCTAAACCTTATTCTCAGTCGATAATCTTTAATGTCTGGCACTGGAAAGAAGAGAGGACGAGGAAGAGGAGGAAAGGGAGGTGGAAGGGGAGGTGGAAGGGAAGGTGCATCTCCTTCGCATGCGAGAACTCCATCCCCTCTTCCTAACCGATATGATTTCACTCCGGCAAGGACATCCAAATCTCCACCACCGCTTGTTCCCACATGCCCACCATCAGTCTCGGTGAGGGATTATCCACCGCCAAATCAACTTTTTCAGCACTCATAGAGTCAACATCGGAGCTCCGACTCTCAACCTGTCAACTCTCCATGGTCTCAACCTCGCACTTCTCCGCCGTCTCAACCTGTCAACTCTACACACTCTCATCACCGACCCTCTCCAATGTCTGAAGAACAAACATCTCCAGAGTGTGAAGCTCACAACTCTCAAGCGGGTGAAAGAGCCACCTTTGAAGAAGAAGATCTTTTCCCAGCCAATCTCGCGGAAGACCAGATGTGAATCCTGAATGCATTGCTCACTCAGCCTGGTAGGGAAGCTTACACGACAGTCTTCTCTCCCATAAAGAGGCCAAATACAACATGGTATGTATCTCACTCTCAACTTTGTAGCTTTTCTGTGAATTTTGTATGAATTTAGGATGTTTAGCTTGTGTTTAGGTTAGTTTAGGATGTTTAGCTTGTGTTTGTGTGAATTTTGTATGAATTTAGGATGTTTAGCTTGTGTTTAGGTTAGTTTAAGATGTTTAGCTTGTGTTTCAAAGTTTTTGGTGTTTGAAACTTGGGAATACTTGGTCGTATTGTTCACATTTGTGTCTATTGCTTTCATATGAGTCAAGTTTATTGCTTTGTATCTATTGTTTCAAACTTTTTGGTGTTTGAAACTTGAGAATACTTGGTCGTATTGTTCACATTTGAGTAAACTTGATTTGTTTATGTGATTTTAGGTTTGGTCGTGACAAGTCTTCACTGACCCGCAAGATAACCAAAGTCTTTACCAACAAATTTGATGGTCCATTCTACAGTTGGACATGTGTGCCTCGGGACAGACAGGAACAGTACTTTGTAGAATTTGCAGTATGATGTTCCTTTTGTAAGTTTGATTCAATTTTTGTTTTTGTTTTTTGCTTACTAGCTAACTGTTATATTCTCTCATGTTATTTTAGAAAACTCACACTTGGGATCCCTTAATAAACGGTGTTGTTCAACAAAAATTTTAGTGTATATGCCAACAAAGGATGAAAGATATGGTAAGCAAGGTAAGGTCTTCTCGAGAGCAACCTAATTGGATTGGTGATACTCTATGGGAACAGATGAATGCATATTGGAACACTGAAGAAGCTAGAGAGAAGAGTGCAACCACATCAGGGGCTCGGATGTCTGAACGTAAGGGTCTTGGTCCTCACATCCACTATTCAGGCCAGAAGTCTTATCTCCAAATCCAACAAGAGATGGTAAGTATTATATCCTTACCTCATCACTTTATTAAACCTTTCAAACTTTTAAACCTTTTTAATGACATTCTTATTGTTGTCACTTTAGGAAGAAGAACTGGGAAGACCGGTGAGTCTTGGTGAAGTTTTCATCAAGACTCATACAAAAGCAGATGGTACTTTTGTAGACCGAAAGGCACAGAGCGTGGCTGAAAGGTATCAGAAGAACTTGGAAGCTAGAATGTCTGAACTCAGGACACTAGATGATGATATCTTAGAGGAGATAACCGTAGAAGAGGAAAACGACCTATTTCTTCAGGTAATGTATTGGTTTTTTGCTTGCATTTTATGTTTCATACCTCTACTTTGAATATTTGTATTTGAATCTGTTTGATTCCTTCTTTTGTTGTTGCAGTCGACATTTACAAATGAAAGAGGTTCCATATGGAATTGGAAGTCTCTCACAGTCCCATGTCAATGGGAAAAGGACGTACCCGGGAAGCCCTTCAACCTACCAAACTCTGCAAGAACAGCTTGAAGCAGCTCACCGGAAAATAGAGAACAAGCAGCAGAGAATACAAGGCGGGAGGCTGAGCTTACAAAAGTTTCTGAAGTGCAGCAAGCCAAGATCAACAAACTATCCTTGGTCGAGAAGTATTTGGCTGAAACTGATCCATGGTTTTTGGACTTTTTGGCTGCAAATAAAACCTCAGATCTGCCAAATGATGGTCCGATGACTGCTGCTCCAGAAAATGCTGCTCCGTCCTCTTCTTCTAATCCAACCACTCAGCCCTCGGCAGCATAGGTCAAACAACCTCTTCTTCTCTCTCAAATCTTTTGGACTTTTTGGCGGCTATTAGATCTCTCAACTATTTTGGTCTCTTTTGAACTTAACTCCATGGTTGTATGTATTAACCTTTGGAAGTTATTATCTCATTTTCTATGTTTTAGAACAATGTTCTTATGTAATATAATGTTTTAATGGTTTCTTATGCTTTTATATTCAGAATGAATTCATTTGCAGTTGATTTCTTAATATAAATCTATAATTATATTCAAATATACCAGATTAGGAGGATCAATTCGTAATGCCAGAAGCATTTTCATTTATCAAAACAGTCGCAAAGTAGTCGTAATGCAGTCGTAAATTAGTCTAAAATTAGTCGGTAAACAGTCGTTAAATTGTACAAAATAAACACTTAAAAAAATTAATCAGTCGGGTTTCAGACGCTATTACATTGTAAAATATGTTGTTATTCAGTCGCAAAAGTACCGACTGTGTTGCGACTAATTAACGTCGACCAATATAAGTCGCCAATCAGTCGGTATTTGGCGACTGATTAACAACTTTCTTGTTTTGCAAACGCAATATTAGCGACTGATTGTATTAGTCGGAACTTGGTCGTATATGTTGTTTTAGCGACTAATTCGCAACTTTGGGTCAGGTCGCTAATTCTTTATTTTCTTGTAGTGTATGCTACGGCATCAGAAGAAGAATTGGGTTCAAACTCAAACGTTGATCCATCACTACAAGAAAAACATCATTTTACAACGGCCAAAATGGTCGTTATTTCGTCGTAATAGGGCTATTACAACGAACTACCGACGATTTCAAAATCGTCGTAAAGTCATCGTCGTAATAGACAAATCGTCGTAAATTCGTCGTATAAGATACGATGGTTTCATTTCGTCGTAACATCGAGGGAAACAAAATCGTCGTAAATGCGTCGTACAGTTTACGATGAGTTTACATCGACTTGCGTCGACTTGGTCTTCGCCTGGACCGTCGTTAAGTGGTCGTTAATGGTCGACGTAAGATCGTCGTAAAATGTACGACGCAAAAATCGTCGTAAATCAATCGTAAAGTATTTAATCATTTCGTCGTAAAATCGTCGTAAAGCACGGACGTATAATCGTCGTATTTGTCGTCGTACATTTTGGTCGTAAATTCGTCGTAATATTTACGACGAGTGTACGACGGTTTTAAATAAATATATTACGACGATTATACGACGTTTAATATAATTGAAAATTAAAAAAAAAATTAATTCGAATTATAATTTAAATTAAAAAAAAAAATTTACAATTTAAAATTTATTAAAAATTGAAATTAAAATTTCAAATTAAAATTAATTGTAATTTACATAAAAACCATACAGCTCTAAATCTAAATCTAAATCTATATCGTCGATCCCGTCACCGGCCTCCTCTCCATCGTCCTGGACGTGTTCCTTGCCGGGTCTTCGGTTTGATGCTTCCGCCGGCGCCTGATCTCCGGCTCTAGGAGGCTCAACCCCGAGAGATCGGAACATCTCCTCGTCCGTCTGCACCGGCGGTTGCGTCCTAGTGGATAACCCGGCGGCAGACGATCCGACAACCCCATCAGCCCGCAGCTTCTCCAACTGCGCCATGAGCACCGGGTTGTCGGCTCCCATGATCTCGAAGAGACCGTAGAGCTGGTCGATCCTCGTCTCGTAACGGGTCCGCATCTGATCGATCTCTTGGCGGATAACCGGATCCGGGACCCGGACGTGACCAATCGCCGTAGCTCTCGGGGTATCACGGATGGACCCCATTCCTAATACCCGCCCCTTTTTCTTTGGGGCAACCTACAAATATTTAAAAACATTATGGTTAGAAATTCAATTTAAAACTAAAGTTACATTAATTAAATATAGTAATTAAATTTACCTCTTCGAAAATCTGGTCCATCTCCGCCACCGTCAGCGCCGGGGTCGATTGGACCGAGCTACCTTCGGAAGACGTTTGACGCGCCTGCTGAGTCAGCTGCGTCTGTTGCTCCTCGATCGCCGCACAGGCGGCGTTGTAGATCTCCTCTGCCCGAGGATCTGTGAATTCGCCGTTCCGCTTCTTATGCGTCTTGGCGAAAACCTTTGTCATCGGAGGAAGTTCTCCTCCGTTATCTTCGACCTACAAAATCAAAATGAAAAAATTAGTATCGACAAATAAGGGTTAATTATTTGAAAACAAAAAAAATAGTAATTTTAATTTACTTACCATCATAAGCCGTCTTCCGGCAAAAGGAATCTGGCCGGAGGTGTGCGAAACGTTCTTCCGATTTCCCGCATCGTCAGTAGCGTTCCTGAAAAATATTTTCATTAGAATCTATTATAAGAATTAATGAAAACAAATAATGTAAATATATTGGAATTAACTACTTACCTAGATCCGGAACACTTGGCGGCCGTAGTCTGGTTGTGCGGATCCAACCAGTACTGGACAAGGCCCCGCCAGACGGTATTGGCCATAGGCGCCGGCTTGGCCTTGTCGCCGTCAACCTCCCACTTCCGTTTCTAGTCGGAAACGGTGTTGTTGAGGCGGAATTTGACCTTCTCCTTGAAGGCCGTCTCCACACGTCCGTGTGCGGATGTTTCCCAATGCCAGTTTTGCTAGGAAAAAAAAGAAGTTAGTAATTATTGTAAAAAGTTAAAATTTAAAATTAAAATTAAACGAAATTGTAAATTACTTACCGCAAAACACTTAAACCAAGTGTCAAGTGTGGCCTGATCCAGCTTCTTCCAGCTGGTATGGGGTTGTACGAAAAATCCTTTGATGATATCCGCAACGTTACGACCGACTGCATTGTCGGTCGTAAACCTAGTCAAATAGAAAGACAAAAGTAAATTAATTTCAAATATTTAAGAATAATTATTAATTAATTTAAAAATATTGTAGGAAAAAAATTACGTACCAAAATGTGCCCGGGGCTCGATCCGGGTCGAGTTTGTTCATGGTCTCACGACCCGGCTGTGCCAGAAGATCTTGTACCGTAAACTGGGCATACGGTACTGGCGGGATCGATCAGCCTCAGGCTCGGCCTGTGCGGGAGCCGCTGGTTGGGTTGGTGGTGGAGGCGGTGCCGGCTGCGGTACAACGACCGGTTGGGAAACCGTTTGTTGTGTGCCCGAGGACTCCGGGATGGCTGATCCGGTCGCCGAGGTAGACGGGGCCAAATCATCAGAATCGACCAGCTGTCGGTAGTGAAATCTCTTAGCCCGAAGAGCCATATCGACAGAATCTACAAAATTTTAAAACAATTGTTACTAATTTTGCAAATATTTATTTAAATTTACAAAATCCGGGCCTATCTAAATTCCGAAACCTAAATCTAAATTCCGAACCTAAATCTAAATTCTGAACCTAAATCTAAAAGAATATGTAATGAAATTAATTTAAAAAAAAAAACTTACAAGTATTGGCTGGGAGAGTAGGGAGAGAGGGACTGGGTTAGGGTTTAGAGAGAGAAAGTATTGTAGAGAGAGAGGGAAGAAGAGAGGAATGAGCGACGAAAGGGGGAAAACTCGCGTCCCTTATATAGATTTTGTGATCGTCGTAAAATCGTCGTAACTTTGCGACGATTTTACGACGATTCGGTTGTATAACAGTCGGTCCACTGCATGACAGGACACGTGTCGTGATGGGAGCGTTTGACCGTTACGACGGTTTTACGACGATTTTACCCAAAACCGTCGTAAAATCATCGTAAAATCGTCGTAACGTCTAAACATTTATAAACTCGTACCTCGGATCAAGAGCATATCCGGTGCAAACGTTACGACGGTTTTATGATGGTTTTAGAGAACTTCGACGTAAAACCGTCGTAAATTTACGATTATATTACGACAGTTTTATGAAGTTTTTTAAAAAAGTGAGTAAACCCTAAATCTTATAAATGGGATATTGAATGAAGAACAAGTGAAAGGTTATTGTATCCTAACATATAACAAAAGGTTTACAACTTTGCATGTATGATGGATTTGTGACATGAGATAGTAAAAATTGAAATTCCGTAATCTAATATATAACCTTTCACTTAACATTTTCGAAAACATGCATGAACTTGTAAATATGTATGTTTTTTTTTTTCAAATTTTTGATTTTGATCAGATTGATAGCATTTCATATAAAATAAGATAACCAATCAAAAACATTTGTGAAATATCTTACAACCAATAAGATATAAAAGATTCAAATTCTTGGATTTCAACATTACGACGATTTTACGACGAAATAGTGTACTCGTCGTAAAACCGTCGTAACCTTACGACGATATTACGATGGTTCATCGTAACGACATCGTAATGTTGAAACCCTATTCATTCAGGGCTTAAAACCTAGACTTAGGGTTTAGGGTTTAGAAAAACCGTCGTAAAATTGAATTTTAGGGTTTTTAAAAAATTCAAACAAACAAAGTTACAAATTACATAAACCCAAACATTTACTAAATACAATGCATGAAACTCAATCAGATTCATCTTCCTCTATTACTTCATCACCATCACCGTCTTCTTTCGCCAAATCGTCATCATCGGTTTCAGCAAACTCATCATCACCTTCTTCTTCTGTATCTTCGGGAAGATCTTCAACTTGCCTGTTCTGAGGGTCTATTAAGAAAATCTCCTCATCAACATCTGGTTCAGACAGATCTACGCAAGTGTCCTGTTGAAGTGGAACATCCTCAACCCCTACAATCTTGCCCCTCGGAGCCACTTTAACTACAGCTAACCATGAAATTCCTGTTAATCGAACTCGAGGGTATGGCAGAAACGTTACCTGTTCTGCTTGAGAAGCTAATATAAATGGCTCAAACCTGTTGTACCGTCGTGATTTGTTCACGTCAACAACTCCAAACTTGTTTAGACGTACCCCTCTTCCAACAGTTGGATCAAACCAATCACATTTGAAGAGAACAGTTTTCAGCCTTAACAATCCAGGATACTCTACTTCAATTATTTCTTGCAGAACTCCATAAAAATCGATTTCACCCCTCACACAAACTCCATA